CTTGAACGGGCTGGGGATCAGGCCTGAGAGGAAAGGGGAACTAGAAGCAATAAGCACTGGATGAAAAAGAACCTGTCATGCCAGACAAACCTTTCTGTTGCTCTTTCTGATCGAATTAAAACACACACAGGGTCCACTAAAGGGGCTGGGATTTTAATAAGGCATTTGATGCCATGGGGCAGATTCTCCTCTTCTTTAGACCACTGGGAATCTGGCATAATTCCCCAGAGATCAGACCCAGGTAACTGAACTGAATTTGGCCACATGCATTACTAAATCTTATTTCCACATCATATAACATTTTACAATTCCCATATCAACTCAACAATAGCATCTCCAGGAGTCCCGTGCACCCTCTCCCTGCCCAGATGGAAGAGTGCCACCAGCAGAGTCACCAAAGGCATTTCTTGTAGCCTCTGGGTTTTCCTGGGTAGTCTCCTATCCAGTCGCTGAGCCCTGCTTAGCTTGCAAGAGCTGACAAGAGCATAGGACGAAACCATGCGTGATTTCAAGGCAGTGAGTGCCACAGCTCCAACTACATTCTGCTCGGCTGCCCACACAGCCCTCAGCCGGATATGAGAGGGAGAGAGAGGCACAGGCTGCTCCTACCTGTAACAGTTGTTATTGTACTTGTTGTAGCTGCCCAAGGCTGTCAGGCACCCCTGGCAGATAACATAAGAGAAGAAGATCTGAGTGCCTGCATCCATCCACACCTAGAACGGAAAAGGACAGTTATTTGCCGCCACGGCTAAGGAAATAAATGGTAAAGTCCTGTCAGGGTACACACACTTCAGGGCAGCAGTCTGTCAGACATGGAGAAATCCACATCAGGCAGAGAAGGGAAGAATTCATACAGGGTGTGACGTGTCTCTGGATTGATTGTCCAGCTTGGGGGACTGGAGTGAAGATTCCACCATGAAAAGGGAGGATTTTCCTTCTAGACCCCAACAGCATCCCTCAAATAATCCAAGGAAGAATGGATCTGAGTGGGGAAGGGAGAGTGATTTTTAAGCCCTCAGATAGGGGCAGTCAACAGGCCGACCAGAGGCCAAATCTGGACTGCCAGACACTTTCGAACGGACAAAATCTTTGTGTTTGCTTATTATCATCATTATTGTTATTGAGGTGTAAAAATATTTCTCTGGAGTCTGGACCTGGACTATACCTTGACCAAG